AATGAAATGACAAAATGCAATGTGATCTGATTCAAAAATTAAATTACGTTTAGGCACAAATATAACTTGGTTAGGTTGGGAGCATGACACAAACAGTTGTCACCCGTGATGAAGTCCAATGTTTTGTTGACCCATCCATCCACCCCAATGCCTTCCTTATTTGGACACTGTGGCTCTATAACAAAATCACACTACTTCCTGTCGTTTATCTATGGACAGCACCATCTTAAACCATCACTTGGGTCTTTCCCACATCTTAAAGACCAGAGGTTTTGCACGTTTAAGGTCATTCACTGCAAATCTTGTATACTTTACATCACGGCTAAACCATTTTGCAAACCATGCTGTAGCATTTTATGGATGTAATTCTTTCTAGCCGCCAAGACCCTTCCATTCATTCCCATGCAATATAAAAAGCCATAAACAAACTCTTGAAACTTGTTTGGCTTGTATACTCCGTTACAGTGAACATAACTCAAGCTGCGGCTAATCTCTGCTCCTTGAATTCAGTGGAAATCAATGGTGGCCTGTAGCACTTAACAAAAGAAATTCAAAATACGTAGATATCATTTGTAGTTAAGGAGCTGAAAAATTGCAGTGGTATTGTCTTTGAAGACAAAACTTTAACTACCTAAACATTACACTATTCTCAGTTCATTTTGCCCCAACCCAACTGTTAGCTAACATTTTTATGTGATGATGAGCAATCATGTGTGTGGGTAAACCCATCTGAAAGCCAGTTGGTGTTTATGGATTCCAGCACTCTCACCACAGAGTTGGCATCATACATGTTCATTGAAGACTAATCAACAGAGCGCAGTGTGTGTGTGTCTGGTGAAACTGGCAAGGTTTTAAGCCCATCCTGATCTTTTAATTAGTCTGATTATCCAAACAGCTGTCTGCTGGAGCTCCCTCTGACTTTAATGCTCTCACACACACACATACAGTGTGATAATGCTACATATGTGACTGCCGATGGGTGCCCTCAGAGCAGGCTGTGATAAATATTGTCAGCGCGGCTCTGATGACGGCGCTCCAAGCTCTGACTGACTATCAGCACACCCTCCATGCTGGATTTTTCTTGATAAAGAAAAAAAGTTCTCAGACTTCTGCAGGAGACTTTGAAGAGTTGGTTGTCAAAATCCTGCTGAAGTCTTTGTTTAATACTTTGAGTGTGTTATATATTCATGTGTGTTCTGCATTTATGTCCATCATGATGATCTTGCAGGCTTTCTTTGAGTAAATTTTCAACACAGAGCTTTTTCTGAGCTCTCTGTTCCTGCATGAAGTCTCTAATGATCTGCTCTACCGCTGCAGTAAATTTGATATAAATGTATTTTCATGGTGTAGTCATGTTAGTGAGACAGTCTTTATTCTTCCACACATCGAAAGAGCACGATTATATATTAAACCATTGTCTAATGAGAGACAACGTGATGAAAAGTAACAATTTGCTACATTTTAAAAAATATTAAATGGCATTGACCTCACATTTCAGTCTAAATAGATAGCAGCACTTATTTTGACATTGCTTGACAGTGGCAGTAGTGCTGCATTCAACAAGATGATTTCTTTGGTATTATTCTTTTATTTGACAGTCACAGTGTAGAGAGAGACAGGAAAAAGTGTCATTTTTCCATCCAATTACCGTGCAAATTTCCAGAAAATTGACAAAAGAAGATGCAAATGAAATCATGTTTCCATCCACTGCTGTTATGTGTTGAGATAAACAGTTGGTAGCATTAATTCTCCAGTTGGGTGCAATTAAACCAGTGCAAGAGGGCACAACGAGATGACGTAATTAAAAGAACACTAGTCAGTCCTCAAATGAATAAAAACAATGTGACGAATGGGATGGAAATAAGGCACTTATGTTTTATGTATTAATGTGAGGAAGGTTAGAGTCCCCTCTCTGCTCCACACAGATCTCATGTACCTCTGCCAGCTGTTTGTAGTCTTTTCAGGGGAGCGGAAGGTTCAGTGGACATTTTAGTGACAGGCTTCATGTGCGTCATGATTTATTCACGGTATCTGTTACCATTACACTGTTTTTCTTTTCAATCGATACACCAACATTTCCACCCAAGCCAGCGTGAAAACGTTCGAGCAATATCTCCACGTTGTTATAGAATGTTTGGAGTTTCCACTCGGGTGTGAAAATTGAAAATGTGCATTAACACAGGTGGATGGAAACATAGCTGGAGGGAAAGAGGGGTACACTAAATTTAACATCTCTGTACTGACAGGGGAGTTCATGTGGGTGTGATGTTCCAGTGGTTTGTATTTAACAATTAAAGACATCACTGTGACTTCAGTTCATCAGTTTCCAGTCAAACATGTTGCGTATTGTTAACTGGCAGCCGTAAGGTGCAGCTTCTGAAGTTGTCTGCGTTGTTGCAAAATTTGACGTTTTGAAGATTTGTCAGCTGCCTTTCTTCCAAGTTCGGTGGACCAGTCCAACGTTTGGTCTCTTGCCCTCTTTGTTTGCCATGCTAATTTGTGTCTTTGAAATAAGTTCTTATAGAGTAACCCTGAGAGCTCCCTGATGAGTTACATTACATATAAATATTCCATCTTTTCTTTTCTCATTTATTTTAATTTACAACAACAAGTGTCTACATCCTGGCTCTGGGATGTCAAATAGATGAGATATTTCACAGAATAAGTGTTTGACCTGCTGGTTGTGCTAGATGAAAAATCAGTGGATCATGAAAATCAGTAGGAGTCATCCTCAGTGGAGCATGTGTGTTCTTACAAAAAAAAAAAAAAATCAAATAAATAGGAAGACCATGTGTTTGGAACTGCCATTTCTTTAAGGTTGAGTGCTGCTCCAGAGTGAAGTTGCAATGGAAGTCTACGCTCTTCTGTGAGCTCCACTAGTTTGTGCCAGGCTATGAGGCAGTTAGCTGTTATAGCACCTCTATCCCCCGGAGGAACCAGCTGCTCTCTTGTTTTTTGACTCTCCACAGGCTGTTCTTTCTCTTTCCCGGGCCTCCCAGGGGATTTACATGACACCTGCTGAGCTTAAATGGTGGATTCTGTTCTTCTACAGAGCAACAACGATTTTCATTCACCCATCTGTTTAGGAAACAGTTATCATGGCTGCATGTGGCTCTAAACAGGCTCGAAATGCTTCCTAAACTGGAAAGGGTCTTTTTCTTTTGTTTCTGTTACCTTTCCTCAGGGTCAAAGTGGAATTAATAACTGAATAATGATGAATTGTCCATTGCTTTGGTGTTGTTGTCTTGTTCCGCTGATTGGCTCTTGCACCAGGGAGTGGTGAGTGCTGATTTTCCTTAGGGCACAGCCTCTACGGTCTCCTTTTTCTACTCTATCTCCATCCTCTCCCCTCCGTGCCGTCTCTGTCGTACACATTCCCCCGCCTGCGGTTTCACATATCAGTTGTGTCATGATAGCGCCGCCGTCAGAGCTGCAGTAACCGATGAGGAACTACCTCAAGAGAAAAACGAGAGAGAGCATCACATCTGTTGAAATGACCTCCTTCACCCATCCTCGTACACCTCACTGACTCCAGACCAGTGGAGCCGCTGCAAGAAGTAGACTCTCTTGCACTGCTGTATGTGCGCGCGCACACACACACACACACACACACACACACACACACACACACACACAGAATCTATTTTTGGATACATGGCCAAATATTGGGCCATATTGAGGAGAGCTGCAGTCACCAGTGTGTGTTCTTACTGCTGCTCAGTGGTGAGGACAACGGTGGTCACATACAGTCGATGCTGAAAAGAGTACTACATAAATTATTTAGTCGATCATATCGGGGGAAAAAGTTGAATAAATCGGATTCATTTGCAAACAATGACTAAACAAAGAGCGCTCTGATGCTAGCAAGGCTGTGGAGATTTAGGTTTGTGAGGTTCATTCAGACAGTAAACTGACACATGAGGTGTAAGATGGAGAGATTTTTGCCAGGGGAGAAGAGAAAACCCAGTGATGCCCGTCACTCAACTGTGCCAGTCAAATCCAACATATGAAGAAGCCTCTCTTGCCCAGTGCCAGTCAATACAGCAGCAAAGTCTGCTATCTTTTGGGACTAAAACTCAGTTGAAAATAAGTTTAACCTGCATTTTTCATTTGCACAGAAACAGAAAATTGAATGAAACAGGATGCATTTTATTTCCTTGAATGTTATATCAATCAACCTGGCTCCTTTTTGTTACCCAAATGTTGTCGAAAGTCAAATTGAATTGACACATGAAGCAATTGGAAGTTTTCATATTGGGCTCTAGGAAAATTGTGATGTGCAATTTTTCCATATTTGTGACATTTTATTGACTCAATCAATTAATCAAAACAAATCGACAGATAATAACATACATACTGTAGATATAGTTAAATGTATGACACAGACATCCAAAGAGCATGTTTTATTTATACATAGATGTCAAAAGTCTGCACACGGTTTCATATTTTCCGTTTTTTTATCGCCCTGGGTGCCTGATAAAACACCCATAAAATCTGACATTGTTTGGTTTCATTTCGATGTAGTAGCCTTTAAAGTCGAGCTGTCTTTGTGGGCTTGCAAATGTGTATACAAGCACATAAATATATGCCATTACCAGAGGAAAAGGACAAGAGGCGAAGGAGAGAAATGGAAAGCTTGCATGACCAGAATGGGCAAAAAAGTTGCGACACAGAAGACCACTGATGTTGGTTGCTAAACACAGAATAAACAAACAACAACCTAATTAGTAGGAATTTTCTTCTGCGGGAGCTAGGCAGCACTGAAACATAATGTTTAGCTTCACCACGTGGTTGTTGATGGTAGACAAAGGTCAGATCCAGGCCATGTGGATGCTATAAGCTTAGGGGGTGGTGGGTGTGCGATGTGGCAGGGGATGGCTTTTAATCTGAAAGAGGCACATAAAACAGATGTAGTGCCCTGTGCTGCAGATGGGGGGCATTGTAGGACCTGAGAATCTGGAGGGATCCAATGGAAAAAGGGATCTCAGTGCGATAGGTCCCTCACCGCCAGAGCCGCGCTTCAGCGGTCGCTCTCCCTCACTCGCAGCAACACACACTCTCTCGTGCACACACTTCTCCCCCTTCCCCGTCTCTTTCCCGCTCTCTCTCTCTCTCTCTCTTTTCTCTCTCTCTCTCTCTCTCTCTCTCTCTCTCTCTCTCACACACACACTCTCCGTTTGCCTCGGTCTCTCTCTCAGCCACTCATTCTTCTGTGCTCTCCTGTTTCATCTCTCCGCCGTGGAGTGCAGAGAGAGAGAGGTGATTCGGCTCCCTGGCTGGCTGGCTGGCTGGCTGGCAGTGACTAGATTGGGGCAAACAGAGGCAGAGTTTGGGACCTAAGGGACAGGACAGCACAGGAGAGGGGGGGGGGAAATTCCAGCAGGAAAGATCCAGCGCAAGATTTCCTCCAGAGGAGATTATTTGCATCATAAAACCTGTGGAAAGAGGACTCTGACACTATACTGGCTGCACAACCGCTGTCCGCACAAGAGGTGCCATTTAGTGTGTTTTTTGTGTGAGTGTGTGTGTGTGATTCTGAGTCTGCTCACCTTTTCAGTATGCAGATTCATTGGCTTGGCTTCTTTTCTCATGCAAATGTAAATTGGCTGGTCGTGCTGCTCCAGAGACACAGATGGGAGCCGGTCTCTGTAATTCAGGTTTGCATGATTATAATGCAGTGCTCCCCGTGAATTAGTTCAGCCCTGATGGATTAGTGAATGTTGGTGTGTGTGTGTGTGTGTGTGTGTGTGTGTGTGTGTGTGTGTGTGTGTGTGTGTGTGTGTGTGTGTGTGTGTGTGTGTGTTTTCAAGAACACACGACTGAAGAAGCAGAATGTGCAAAATAACAGATCTCCCAAATATGACAGAAAACTTCCAAACTAGGTTATTCTTGAATGCTCGTTATATTTCCATATCGTCCACCTTCTGTCTAGAGCGCTTCTGTAGTCGCTTGCGTGTGTTTTCATGTCCGGATGAATCTCTCTGCACATGTGTGTGTTTCTGTCAGTCGCGGTCTCCGGCATATCATGCTCGGATGTCACTGCCTCAGGATCACAGAGGGAAGAAGAAGAAGAGAGAAGGGGAAGGGGGGGGGGCTAAATTCTATGTGGCACCATGCCAACTTGCTGCTTTACAGAGGATGTTGAAGGTTAGACGAATGTCTTTTCAGCCTGTGCACCCACTCCGTCTGCCTCTCTGCTGCTTCACTTCTATGCAGAGGAGTAACAAGAATGACAAGTGTGTTGTTAAAGCAGTACCATGCGGAATCCCTTAAGTAACGTCAGTAGAGCCCCCCCCATTCCATTCTGTCCTGCCTCCATTTGAATTGTGATTGTGAGTGTGTGGCAGAGTAGATAGATGGAGAATTTGTTGGGGAGGGGGGGGGTGGAGTTGATGCTTGTTTTAGCTCCCCCTTTCTACTCCCCCTTGGGATTTGCCCTTGCCTTCCATCCCTCTTATCCCCTACCTCCATTTCTCTGTCGCTCCCTCCATCACTTCTTTTTTTTTTTTATCTTCAGTCCTGCTGAGCCAGCGAGATTCACTGGTTTTTAAAGTGGAAGTCCATTCACACAGCTGGGACTGCTGGAGAGATTGAGAGAAGGGGAGGGGTAAGGGGCGGTGAATGGGGGAGGAAGGGGGGAGGCTCAGGTGAGGGTGAAAAAGAGGAGAATGGAAGTAAAAACAGCCCCCGGGGGAGTCAGCGGGTGATTTATATGTAGACATTTCTCCACACGTGTTTGGCCACCGCTCCAATTAACACCTCCACCATTCCGTGGCTGCACATGACAGATGCTGAATCCTGGAGAGGGCAGAGCGTATTCATTAGCGGGGCTGTGTTTGTTTGTAAGGATTTAGCGAATTCAAATTGTTTACTGTGGTTTTCAGTGATTTCTGGGTCATTTGTCGCTGCAGTGTTTTGAGCTTCCTCTGCTTCCTCTCAAAGTTTGAGAAATTGCGCAGGAAACACTGCGAGTCAAGCAATGTTTGTCTGGATAATTCACAAACACATCAAACTGTCCCCGTTTCTGATCAAGGCCTGAGTGGGTTATTTTTCCTCGAGCCATTTCTTTACTTCTACAGGAAAATATTTCTACAGCCTTTCACGTCAGCGTGATTGATTTGATGGAGGAGGTCTGATTCTGATTACTCACTCCCGTCCCTTGTGTTCCTCCAGGGGGCGTGATAGACAAGGACCTGCGCCACTACCTCAACCTGCGCTTCCAGAAAGGCTCGGTGGACCACGAGCTGCAGCAGATCATCCGGGACAACCTCTACCTCCGCACCGTCCCCTGTGAGTTACCATGTCCTCGCTCCTCTCACCTCCACTCACCTGCTTGAGCGAAACACTTTTGCTGTTTTCCGCTCTCGCCCTTAAAAGCTTCAGGTTCACCGTGTGGCAATTTGTTTGTGGTAATTTGATCAAATGGTTATATAGAGGGTATGTCAGCGATTTAGTATGTCACCCATATAACATTGTGGGACTTATAAGAGACAGGTTATAGAAAGAATGGTCAGAAATGAAGCATCACATGCCCACATATCACTGTGTAAGCATTCTCTAGTATGTGTTAAGCTGCAAAAACAGTGGATCCTAAATTTCCCATGATGCAACTCAATAGCATCTGTCATTACGCCCTCCCTGCCTCCTAAATGTCCACTCCTTTCAAACCCCACACCTCTAGCTTGCAACACAGGCTTTATGTTGGACATTTTAAGTCTCAAACCCAATCCAGGATAACCCTGATGACATCACTATGACATCATCAGGGTGTTTTATTTTAAAAAAAATTTTAAAAGCTGCCTCTGGAGCTACAGAGAACAAGCCGAATAGTACTGTGAACATCTGCAATGTGCGAACTCAATCTGCTGATGAGCATTATTTGATATGGCTGAAAGCTCCCAAACAAGCAGCTAATCTGATTGTTTCCAAAGCTTAAGAACGAACGGTCATGCTCAACAGATCCTCCAACACTTTTGTATAAAATTACTACAAACTCATTGACACAGAGCAAACCCGAGGTCAGGTAGTGCTCTAGCAGAGGAGTACTGATTGGTTTCTTGAGCTGCAGGGAAACTGCTAAGCTGCTATGTATAGCCTTGACTTGAGGGCAGCAGTCTGAATACACAAGCACAGAAAATGGGAGGCAAGGGGCTCAATAGGGCCTTCCGCACAGGTGAATCCGGCCATGCTTCTTGCTTCTTATCAGCACTTAATGATTCTAAGTACTTTTAAGTGTACAAAATGCGTTGAATAAATTGAATATCCCAGCTGAGAACAATGTGCGATGAGATACTTTTACCCTCGCTGGTGTTGGCCTCAGTCCAAAAGCTCCCAACTGTCTCTCTGTGGTTGTAATCAATTAGTTGCTGGAGTGTTGCTTGGTTCAGCTGGAATCGGGCTTGTCTGAAAGTTCGTCCCTTTAAAATCAAGTGTTGACTGCAGCCCTCTGTCTGTAATTAGCTGCGTTAATGCATAACAAGAGCACACAGTTGAGTGTTATGTAGACAATCAAAGATAAGATTTAGGGGGCTTTAAGATATTGATACTTGGTGTTTTTGGTTCAGCACAGCATTTGAAGCTCAATACTTATCTGGGTCTTCTGTGTGTGTGTGTGTGTGTGTGTGTTTGTGTGCGTGTGTCTGTGTGTGTGTGTGTCTGTGTGTGTGTCTGTGTGTGTCTGTGTGTCCTTTATCAGGCTTATTAAGCTCCTTGTGTTTACTGTATATGAGCTTAGACTAACTGATGTTTAATCCATATTCTTCTGATTCCTATTTGCCATTTGTTTGCTGAACATATGCTCATTGCCTTCAGTAGGCTGTGATATGAAAGGGTGTTTGTTTGAATGTGTAAGAGCTCTTATCTGTGTATAGTGTGTGTGTGTGTGTGTGTGTGTGTGTGTGTGTGTGTGTGTGTGTGTGTGTGTGTGTGTGTGTGTGTGTGTGTGTGTGTGTGTGTGTTAGCTCTGCATTAGCCTTGCCGTGCCATTAGGCCCAGCTGTCTGGTGGCTAACTCTCCTCTGAATCCTTAATGGAGGTGCATTCTTCAAGGCCAGGAGCAGGCAGATTTTGCTGAAGCCACTTTTCTGTTGCCCTTTCTGAACAGAATACAACAGGAGAAACAAAGAAAAAGAGCTATTTGTTTGCAACAGAAGCGTAATTTTCTCTGATAACCACTCACAGGGTTGCTGCCGGTGAGGCATTGGAGATAGAGAAAGAGGTGAACAGTAAAGAGGGAGAACAAATTGGAGAACAAATAGAGGAAGAGGGAGACAAAAGGGAATGGGGGCGAAGGGGGAGGAGGCATGATGATATGACACAGACTACGATAACCATGTAAGTAAATGGACTGCAGATAAACTGTTGCAGTGAGCGAGAGTAAGGGGAGGTTAATTTGTGCATTAATGAAGCTTCAACAATGGGCCTCAGTGCTGCTGAGAGGAAGAGGGCTAGTCATGACTGAGCTGGGCTTTTTATATCTGAACTGATGGAGTGATGGATCTTTGTTGGATATACACATACACATTTGTGGAAATGTTGCAACTATTCCTTCATTTTCTGCTTTTTGCCTGGTTTGGCTCTTTTTTTTCCGACCCGTTTTACACCTTTCATAACTCTTCTTCCATGAACATTGGGGTTCCATGTTGGTTTATGTGACGTAACTGTGACCCCGGTCAAATAGAAGGTCAAATGCAAAAATACAGTATATGATGTAAAGCAACCTTTAGTACAATGACAAATGGTTTGATGGATGGACAGATGGGTACACTGCTGATTAGATACAATGATACTTAGATGCACTGACATATGGTTAGGGACACTGACTGACAAGTAAATTGACAAATAGACTTGACAGGTTCTTTGGCAGTTGAAGACTTGTTGACCTTTTCTATTAGACTATTTCTAGACCAGACCTGAATTGCCACCGGCATCTTTAAATTTTTTCATCGATTCAATCAGGTCTGGTATTGTGCTCGGGGACAACACCAACCAAGCTTTGTGAGTGGAATCAAGAATGGGGATGTTATCACCCTGTGCCAAAGCCAGGAACCGTTTCCAAATGCCGTTAAGAATGAGATTAATGACAATGACACAACTTAAATTGACATATGAAGTTCTGAGTAAATGCTGCTTCTGTTTCAACTGAAAAGGATGTTGACAAGACTGATATACCTGTCACTCCTATAAAATAACCACGTGAAATAGATATGGCAGTTTAATGTGATTACCAAGCTACCTTTCTGTCACAGGAACTTTTCCAGGGACTCCAGGAACCTTTTTAGAACTCAAGAACCAGGGTCTGAGTGTAATTCTTAGGCCAAAGTTCCTAAAAGCCCCTTTTCTAGAGGCAGAATTGTTGCCCAGGAACTACCTATAAGAGTTTCCCTTACCGATTCTTTGATTAGACATAAGCCTTGAGGCAGCTACAACTTACGTGAGTATAACATTCACGTTTATTGAAGTCAGTGTTGTAATTGATTCCCAAAAGGAGGTGTTCTGAGGTTTATGGTCTCCTTTATCTACGTATGTCTATGTCTGTCCTCACAAATCTTCAGATACAATGGAAACCCAACACAAAACATGTACAATGGGCTTTTACTGCCTAATTTAGTATCCGAGTTTGTTCAAGGATTTCCCAAGTTCTGGGGACAATATGACCTAAATACACCTCCCATTAGCATAAATCTGTATCTAAATATCTTTGTAAATGCACCCAGAACCCATTGTAATCACAATGCATCCAAATTGGCCAGACCACATTTACAGGTGGTCAGGCTAACATTGTCATTGGATCTCAGCCAGGTAGATGATGCATCCAAATAGATGACATGTTAATACCTGGTGTAAATTGGGGCTTTGGTTTTAAAGGGCCACATATGGACACATGATTTAGGAAGAGGACTTGTTATCCAGGTTGGATAAAAAGAGGGAAAATATGAATCTAAAATTGATACACATGGTGAGATCTAAGTGGGACTGAGGGGCAAGAGGGAGAGAAAAGACAATTGTAAGTGATAGATTCAGAGTAGTTCATCACAGCAATTTAAACATAACCTTTGAGTGGACATTTTTGGGGGGGTGGAGGTTGATGGGCAGACAGTTGCTGCCACCCATACCAATCGTGGATCTTAGACGGAGTCAGCCAGGGCAGCTAAGGCTGTGCCAGCTCTTAGACAAATTGCCTGGTTGAAATCCAAGGTCAGAGCGTTAATAGCGTGAGCCCATGTGAAATCAGGCCTATCGTCTGGTAATCCACATAGATTTGATGGGGGAGATAGCGAGCGTAGAGGAGTAAAGTGTGTGTAGACTAGTCGTGGCTCCCAAGTGTGTAACACTTATTGAGAATTGTTGATTTACTTAGGTAAAATTGAACTGGAAAGCACAGCAATTTGACGTATAGATTTTTATAATATGACTTTCACACAGTTTCAGACGCACATTCATTTATAGGCGGCGTGTGCATGTGTGTACTTTGATTCGAAGCCTCCAGAGCCGAGCAGAAGAATATTTGAACTCATTTCCAAGCGTACGAGTTAGCGTGCATGTATTTAACGTAAATTTAGAGTCAGAGTACATAACTTGAAGGTCGATCACATCATCTGAGAGAGATTAAAAAACAAGAGTGTCTCATGTTTTCCACTAAATACTAAATCAAATATAAAGAAGTGCAGTGCCTCTATTGCAGGGAAATGTGATTTAAAAAAAAAAATAAGGTCATTAGGATTATATGACTCATTACTGTAGTTGTTCGCCGCAGTCTTTCATATTATATTTGTTTCTTCCTCGCATTTGCCTTCCTCTACTTTCTTCTTCTTTCTGTTGTTCCTTCGCACAAGAGCACACACACTGGTTTGCGTTGTTCTGAGCGCTGCCTTTTAGCTCTTTGGACACAGTAAAGCACTTAGTGAAGAGCACGGTGTCTATCTTTGGCTGTCTGTGAATGATAGAGCTGATGATTAAGCGCAGGTCAAGTGCAGGTAAAAAGGTGAAACGATGCTCTGTCGGGTTCTCGCTTCCCCTTTTCTCAACCCTTCTCTAAATGGCATGACAATGTCCACACTGACTGTAGCTGTGTCTGAAACCAGTCCTCATTTGCTTATTTTATTCAGGTGTGGAATTTAGGGATTGTGTTTTGCCCTCAAACATGCCTATAATGGAATAAAAAAGCTGTGTCCATAGCATGTGCTGTACACTACTTTTTGCTAATGTAATTTACTTTAACTAAATCAGTGGCAATGCACACTGACCTTCTTGTGACCACCCATCAAGTCTAAATAGTCTGAATATTAAGCG